TGAGGAGCAACACCAGAGTCACCTCCCTCAGCCTGCTGTCTAAACAGTTGGCAGCAAGTCACCCGGTGGCCCTGCAGGGACGATGCCACCTGATGCCAGCGCTTGGTTGTTTCCTTCTTTGACGGGGGCAGTGTCTTTGGCAGCAGAACTGCACTCAGGCTGCAGCCCCAGCGGCTCCCCTGCCAGGGATGTGCATTTCACACCTGCTTTACAGGTACCAGATTACAGCCTTGCTTTGTAAATTACACCCCTGTGATTAGAAACATTGGCACTCCGACCTCCCCGGCAATATACGCCAGGGCCTCCTAAGGCTCCCTGCTTACTCCTGGCAGTCAGAGAGCACCGGGAGATGCTGTGGATGCTGCTTGTGATGGGAGCTGCTATTGCACTGCAGCATCTTGAATTTTGAATGCAAAAATCGCATGGAGTGGCCTGATCCTGGGTACATTCCCTGTGCTGCCCCTCAGACTGTTTGCTCTGTTGTTTGCCCCTGCAGCTCTCAAGAAGATGCCATTTGCGGGCAGTTGACTGGGTGGGGAAGGAAATAATTGTGCATTTACTGTTCTCCCCACACAAACTCCAACTTCCCATTCACTTAAATTTGCCCTGAGCACCTTTTTAAAACGTGGTTCAATTTCCCTCTTTCAGAGTTTTTGCTGGCACTTATCATTCTGGAATGGTACTTAATCAGCCCCTGTCTGAATTCTCTGTAAAGAGAATTGATGTCCGTGTCTCCAACAAGCTGAAAATTGTCGTGTCCTTCCCCCCCGCCCCCCAGCCTGTGACATATAAAGGGACTTTGTTTTCTGCAGTGGATGTTTCTTTTCTAATAGACAAATCGCCCCGTCTGTAAGGCTTGTGGAGCGGGGTACAGCTGCAGACACCTGCCTTTCAGCCCAGGGCAGAAGAGGTGTGGTGCCCTTTCTGGATTAAAGCTGAGGACTGTCTCCACAGCTTGCCTCACGTGGACACCGGACTTGTGTGTTTCCCTCCAAACTGTTTGATCCTGCCTTTTCCCAGGGTGGTTTCAAGAACGAAGTCACTCTGTCTTGTGAGCACTTTCAGATGTCCTTCCAAATCACGCTGAAGCTTGGTCTGGGATGCAGCAGCTGAGGTACCTGCACCCAGGCAGGCGAGAACCTTCAGGCGTTGAAGATCACTAGAGATCCAGAATGGCCACTCTGCACTGATTCGAATTTCCAGCCCTTTAAACGAGAAGGTAATTAGTCTTCTGAAGAAATGAGTCAGAAGCTCTTGTTTCTCCTTTTGAAAATTTAAACCAGCCTGGTGCAGCTGACAAGCCTTTGCCGTGTCCAAGTGTTGCAACATCTTCCAAACTGGTACGTGCAAAGTGATGCACACCTTGCTGCGACTACAAAATTTCTAGTAAAGCCCAATATTTTGCTTTCTGAATTAAAAAAAAAAATAAAATCTCCAACCTCTTTTGAAGTAAAAAACTCTCTCTGAGTCAGAAATAGGAATGCCTGAGTCTGCATGCAGCCTGACAGCTGTCCACTTCTCATTTCTCCTGTTCGTCTCAATGTTTGGTTAACGATGTAGCCTAAAAATGATGCTTCAGAGGTCAACGCCAGCACTAGGCATTTTTTACAAAAACTGGTGAATAAACCACCCAGCTCAGTTGTTCCATCTTCCCTGCCATTTGCTACAACACCTCTGCAACTTGGACTTTCCCTGAGTTTGACCTCCCGTCACGTGTGCTCAGCACGAGCAGTTGTGGCACTTTGTGAAAGTGCAGGGACAGATTCAAAACAGAAAAAGAATTAACCCGAGGGTTTTGGTCTTGGTGGTGCCTTCCTTCTCCTATCAAATGGAAATGTGAATTTTGAGCAGCCACTGCACTGAAGTGCTGAGGACACCAGAGGGCTCTGCTGTGAGACCTACCTCTGGATCTCCACAAAATCCACAGCATTTTGCTCTCAAGGCACGGCTCTCATTTTTGGTGATCCCCCCCACCCTACCAAAGACGAGCTGCTGCCAGCAGTGTGGGCCTGAACTTATTTGCAGCATGACAGTGGCTCTAGTTGGTTGGTTGGTTCTCAGCTAGGCTATTTTTTTCATCAGGAAATGGTGCTGTTCAGGATTTTTGTGGAAAGCTATTGTGCGTGGCGCATCTCGTGGAAGGACCGAGGCTGTGCTGAGAAACCAGTTTCTGACAGCTTGTTAATCTGGAAGATAACCCCTTCTCGCTGTTTTTGATGGCGTCATAGTTTCCCCCCTGACCTGTTTGACAAACGAGCCTACCTGCAAGTTGTGTTTGCGCCTTTCATATAGGAAGTTTGTGTTGAAGGATCGCCAGGCTTCGCTCACTTGGACGGGAAAACCTCTTACGTGACTTGCCTTGTCTGCTCAAGAATTTTGGCCGCCTCTGTTGGCATGATAGAGAAATGTGTTTGCGAGGCTTTTATCCTTAAAGGGATAGAATTTCGCTGGTATTTTTACACTTAAAAGGATATAACGTTTCTTCAAAACCAGAACACACAAGCGTATACATTCTCAGTCTGTTGCCTGGGATATTAGCCAGGCGACCCCTAATAACGCTAAAGCCTGGCAATGCAAGATTAAAATACATTAGTTGGGGGATAAATTGTCCATCTATTGCGCAAGAAATCTTAATCTGCATAGGAAATGCAGATTAAGCCCAATACAAATCTTACTTGTCAAAGTCCTCGTGATACTCCGGGGGTTAATTTCAAGAATGTCTAAGGGTTTTATTGTACTTGTTTTAATTATTTGGAAATTGCTCTTCCCGACTTGAGCGATGCCTGGAATTCTTACGTGGCGATTTTTGCTCGGTTTCAAAACACCTTGACTGCCTCACGCTGTTTGTGTGTGTGCCTCTTGCCGCCTTTCATCTGTTTGTAGCAACATCAGGAAACTGCTGGTGTGAAGAACCAGTGAGGGCTGGGTGAGACTCCAGTTGATGTGCCTGAGGAGCCGGCGGTGGTGGATGTAACACAGACAAGCTTCACACCTTGCTGTTCCCAGCCAGGAGGGACAGAGGACTTGATGCACGGGGACACGGTAGGCCACATTCCTCCCTGGGCCTCACTGGGCTGGCGCTGGATTAATGTGTTTTCCTGGTTTGAGAGACACAGGAGAAAATTTTCGTTCAGTAATTTTACTTTTCAGTAAGGTTTCTTCTAATGCAAAGGAAAATTTGTGAAAACATTGACTTTATAGCCAGCTACGGTATGTGGGTTTCAAGGTCTCGGTGTTTTCAAGCTGGCCAGGTGTGGGGGTGAGGAGAAGTGAGACCCAGGCACTTGACCCAAGCTGGCCAAGGGCGTTATTTCATACCATGAAGTTACATTCAATAAAAATTAGAAAGTTTTCCGAGGGGTTTCTCCTCTGAGATGCTGGCTGTGATCCTGAGAACGTCTTTCCCCGGTGCCGGACCCCTGAGGCCTTCCCTGCCTCCCAAAGCCGTGGTGTTCACAGGGTCCGACATTTGCTGCCCATCACTGGGCGAGCACAGCCACCTGTGATAGGATTGACTGAGTATAATCCTTGTATATTTTATATTGGTATCGGGGTCAATATTTGTTATTTAGTGTTACTAATGTTAACTATTTAGTCTTATTCTATTAAATCTGTATTTCACCCCTCGGGTTTCCTTGTTTTTCCCCCCGATTCCCTTTCCCGGCTGGGGAGGGGTCACGGGGTGAGAGAATAATTCTCTGAACGGCAACGAATTTGTTGTGGGTTCTTCAAACCGTAACGTTTTCGGGGCTGGACCGCGGGGTCCCCGGTGGGACCGGCCCAGGGCGACACCGCTCCCCCCTCCCCTCCCCGCGGAGCCGAAGGGGCGGTGCCACCCGCCGCAGGGCACCGCCCCCATTGGCCGCCGGGCGCGTCTCTTTGCATTTCCCCACCCCCTGACTGAGTATAATCCTTGTATATTTTATATTGGTATCGGGGTCAATATTTGTTATTTAGTGTTACTAATGTTAACTATTTAGTCTTATTCTATTAAATCTGTATTTCACCCCTCGGGTTTCCTTGTTTTTCCCCCCGATTCCCTTTCCCGGCTGGGGAGGGGTCACGGGGTGAGAGAATAATTCTCTGAACGGCAACGAATTTGTTGTGGGTTCTTCAAACCGTAACGTTTTCGGGGCTGGACCGCGGGGTCCCCGGTGGGACCGGCCCAGGGCGACACCGCTCCCCCCTCCCCTCCCCGCGGAGCCGAAGGGGCGGTGCCACCCGCCGCAGGGCACCGCCCCCATTGGCCGCCGGGCGCGTCTCTTTGCATTTCCCCACCCCCTCCGCGCAGCCCCATTGGCAGCCAGCCCTAGGCGCTTTGCATAGCCCCGCCCCTTCCCCCCGCCCCCTCGGCGCGCCGCCTGGCCGGCGCTGCGGTGCGGTGTCGGGGCGCAGTGCAGGAGCCCGGAGCCGGCAACCGGGAGCGGGGCCGCGGGCAGCACCGCTGCTTCGCCGGCGTCTTTGCGGGGCGGCAGCCAGGCTGCGGCCGGTGGGTCTCTCGCCGCGCATCCCCCCCCCCCCTCCCACCCGCCCACCCCCTCCTCTCC